TAATAATAATAATAATAATAATAATAAATTAAAATTTCATATTGTGTGGTTGGATTTCTTTCTTAAATTTGACACTGATGAACAAGCTAATTCGGTTTATTTGTTTAGGTGAAATAAGTTATTTCCAAATAAAATAATTTATTTGTGTAAATTATTCTATTAAATAATTATACTATAAAGGAAAATTTACATACATATCATATAATTCTTATGTATTGATGTGATGTGAAGTATTTGAATGAAACTTTAGTTGTTGGGTATATAAATACATAATTATAAGAATTATGTGGTATATTTATATAAATGCCCCTAATGACAATATTCAGGAGGAGGAGAAGGAGAGAATAAGGAAGGAAGAAAAGTTGAAACCAAGCATTAAAAGCATTAATGGAATTGTTCTGTGATAAAATGATGGCAAGAGCTGGCAAAATGATGATAATCCATTAATCCTTCTGTGTGTGGAAGGAGCGTTTGGACCTTATGAGAGCCTTGTGGTGTTCATGACCTGCAACCCTAATTACTGCAAACAGTTTTTTTTTTTTTTTTTCATTTAATTATTATTATTATTTTTCTTTTGGTATTTATTTTTATTTTTTATTTTTATTTTTATTTTTTTTTTCAGTAAATGCAGCGCTTCGTCTGCGAGCTTATGAATGGGAGCAGAACCCATGATGGGCTCTTGTGGGCTTGTAAGGGTATTTGAGTGCTTGCTTTACTCTTTTGATTGGACAAATATAATGCATTCTGAACCTTGTATGAATGCTAACTCTCCTAGTAATGCTCATTTTTCTCATTTATTTTTATTTTTATTTTTTTTAAAGGGCATTTACAGACATACCACCCAATTTCTATGTATTTACATGTCTAACACTTAAAGTTTACTTTTTTTATATTTATATCACTATTTTAATTTTCACAAAGTGAACCTAGGATGTCAGACGTGTAAAAATTGATATCGGTTAGATATGGCTCATATAACATATAAGGGATAGATCATGGTGCGGAGCGGAAGAATTAGTTCAATCGGGGGAGTTTTTTTATGTGGGTTGGGGCTGCGGGGGCAACGCCTTGCGGTACGGTTCAGGGGTAATTCTGTAATTACATATTGTACTCTAGGGTTATATATATGTCTGTTTGTAATCTTAGGTCTGTATTCTGTACTCTTTTCTGAAATTGAAATAAAGCCGTTGCTTTGCTCCCAAGGACGTAGACATCTTTGCTGAACCTCGTTAAATCTTTGTGTTTATCTGGATTTCTTTCGATTCTTGTTTTTCGTTATCTTAAATTTCTCCACAAAATTAGTTGGCAAGAATGCAAGCAGGCTGAGGAAAGCTTGGGATTGATTAGAATTACTGTTTATTTATGGAAGATTTACATATATTTCATAAAATTTTTATGTATTTATATTTCTGGTGCCTAAATTTTTTTTTTTTTTTTTGCATTTATACCACTTTGCTTAAGTTTGAGAAGGTATATATGACTTTAAAAGTTAGTAATAGTGGCATTTTTGATGTGATATGAATGATTTGTGATCGAGATACAATGATTAAGTTCTAAGTATTAGATATGTAAATACACAAGGATTGTGGTATGCATGTAAATTCCCCTTTTTATATACTTCCAATGGTGGATCAAGGCCTCTTTATATTTGAGACAATTTTATGTTATGCATAATTTGAAACTTTTATCTTTAAATTTTACCTTAACAATTATGTATAGGGAAATTTACATAAATACCATACAATTTTTAAATATTTGGATGTTATGTTTGAAAATATGGAAGTTTAGGTGCTCAATATGTAAATACGTAAGATTTGTGTGGTATGTATGCAAAAGCCCCTAAAAATTATGCCACATACTCAATTTATAAAATGTTTTATGATACTTAAAATAATCTTTTATTGCAAAAATTAAAGCAATTAACAACGGAAGTTTTTTATGTGTTTATGTTCTTTCTATTCCTGCTTGTGCTCGACTAGATAATGTATTTTCATTTTTGACACCTAAATTTTAATATGTATTTTCCTTCTAAAGGTTAAAATTGCGATCTTTTTGATGTGACATGAAAGATTCGGGTGTTAAAATGTAAAAATAAAAGTTTAGGTGTTAGATTGTAAATACATGAGATATGTATGTAAATTCCCTATTTATGGTTTGTTAGATGTTTGAACATTATTGATGCATTTGTGATGCAACACAACAATTAAATATCAAACTTATAAACATGCAATGAAGATTAATGGTATGTCTGGGGTAGCCTATCCTGAAACGTAGCCCGCGGGGGTCGATCCACGGTCTATTTTTAGTGTAAAAAAATCAAAATGTGGCAGACTGCGTTTTCAAAAACGCGTAAACTAAATGGTTGGAGGGCGTTTTCAAAAATGCCGTCACACTTATAAGCTGCCCCAACGTGTCATAAGCATGTGGACGTAACAAAATGTTAGAATCCATTTGATATATATTAATTGTTTAAAAACCTTTCATGACAGGCTATAAGCATCACTCTTTAAATTTAGTAGGGATCATTCTCTAAGCAAGCGTCATATAAGAGGAATTTGTATATTAAACATTATAATAATTCGACCATTAACATGACATGTACTGTGGCACGGGCTACAGCCTAGTAGGGCCCATTAGCTCTAGTTGTTGGCCCATGATGGCCAATTATTTTTACACAATTAGTCTTTTAGATTATTCACTTGACTAATTTTTAAATCACGTTTCTCTCTTTAATCAAAGTAGGCTTTTCACCTCCTAAAAGAAAATATCTGACTACTGATATATTTATGTTGAAAGTTGATATTTACATTTATATCTCATCAGTGTCATAAATTCATGTATGAAAATGTGTACTTTATTTTTAAGGAAATATTGATGATATATATATAAGTTCAAAAAGTGCATTTTTCATTTATAATTTATGCTTGTTATACAAAACAAAATATGTTCTTTTAATTCATCTTTACTTGTATTTGCCTTCATAGCACAACAATTTGTCAAATGACAACGTTGGTAACCTGCTATAGACGGCTCTAGGATTATGGGAAACTATTCCGTCTAGATGTCCGCACATCTGGATGACTAACCACATCAGCCGCTACATCGTCCGTTGATGAGTTGTATGACTATATGGCTGCCAGTGGTTGGCCGTCCGGACGTGTTGTGTCCGGAAATAATATTTTCTTGTGATTATGGCTGCAAATTTAGCTCCAAGGTCGTTAACAGTGCGAAAATTGATTTGAATTTTAGCTCGGATCGAGATCAAATAGAAATAAGCTAGCCAAATTATGAGTCAAAACTTTAGATCATTTTTTTTTTTTCAAGTTTATTTCTAGCTTGAGAGATGCTCGAATTATTATACAAATTGGTACTAAAATCAAATATAACGAGCTATGAGCTGATTTATAGTTGAAACTAATCCAAATGACTCGATTTGAGCCAAGTTGTTTCTTTTTCGAACTGTGTCGACTTGATTTCAAGTTGGAACGGCTCCGAAAAACTCAAATCGAGCCAATTCATTTTGATTTATTCAATTTTGGGTTGAACTGGCTCGAAATCGAACATAACGAGCCACCAACGGCTTTCGGTATGAATTCAATTCAATTGAGCCAATTTCAGCCCCAGCTTGACTCGAAATCAAATATTATGAGATCCAATTGCTGTTCTTCAATCGTCCAAAATTGTTGACTCGAATAAACATTACTAATAATATAAATATTTTTAAATTAACTCTATTTAGACCTGACAGGGCCTCAAAACAAATATGTAGTATCATATTTATCGTATAGCTACTATGAAAAAAAAAATAAAAATAAAAATAAAAATAAAAATGGACATATTGGTCTTGTATTTTATAAATAACAATTAAATTTTACAATTAAATATTATATTTTAATAATTAATACTATAACAACTAATTTATTTTTTTAATAAATTAAATAAAATACTATAAATAATTTTATCGTTTTTAAGCTGTATGAACCGGATTTTGCAGGGATATCAAAATATGACACAAATTTGGAATAATTTCTTAAGCAAAAGATTTAGGTAAACTTATGGTCAAATTGACCGGTTCAATGAGACGAACATAATGAGACTAAAATTGGTGCAGTCTGAATCAAATCAAGCCCGAATTGAGCCATTAAGCCGCTTTTACAAGTTTTCAGTGCTTAATTAAAAGATCGAATGAATTTCAAATTTCACAAGCTTTTAATCAAATCAAGCGTCCCAATTGAACGCGTCCAATGATCCCAAAGTCATTCAATTGTGACATAATTAAGGCAATCAATTGTCGATAAAATATTGTAGAACATATTTATTTTCTTAATAATCTTTTTTTTTTCCTTCATCCTTACAAATTATTTTTCTTATTTATAGAATATCCTATGTTATTTAAAATTTTGTAAGTCATAATAATTATAATTAACGGTCAAATGGGTGTTCCGATCATATGATTTCAAAAATAAATGTATCTCAGGTCCGTGCCGTATCTTATATATAGAAAAATTATTCCATACGACGGAGACCGCATGCATCTTGCATGCGGTGTCCGATTCTAACCGTAAATCATGTGATTTACGGTCATGATGTATTTCTGTGGGCCCTACCTAATTTTTATTTTAAAAAAAAAAAATTGAAATATATCCCGACAGTCTACGATTAGGTCCGTATGCAATAATTTCTCCTTATATATATCCCGTAAGAGTATCGTGCATCCTAACATAATTATTATTTAAAATAAAGTAAACCACATTAAAGACCATATATATTTAATCAAACTATGCAGATTATGCGTTGATAATGCGAGAGACATTGAAAGGAATTTGAGTAAACCATAATTGGCTCAGAAATAGAAATTCCAATTTCATTTAAAGCCAAATTTAAACCGAGAAAAAAAAAATGACTTCATGTTTTTCTTCCACCCATTTAATCAGTTAATATTATAAAATCATTATATGATACGAATTATAATATATATATATGATAGTTAATTAAACAATGGATTCAAATAATATGTTACAATGCACTTATTTCAACAATTAATTTTACTACTCAAATTTAATCCACATAAAAAAAAGTTATTAAAGTAAAACAAAAGGGGGATTTAAGCACCACTTTAAATATCATTTGAATTACATAGAACCTGAAAAAATAGGCGCATGTCAGTGTATCACACAATTCTAATGTATGTATAATATTTTGATGTTAAAATCAATATATAAAAATGTTTCTTTCACTTAAATAATAATAATAATAATAATAATAATAATAATAATAATAATAATAATAATAATGTGATATTAAAAAGTTAAATGTAATGCATATCAATCGTACGAGGAAATTCGACGGACTAAAAGACATGAAATTATGATCAGAGATAACCCACAGAAGGAAAACCAAAAGTCATATCACTGAAAGATCAAAAAGACCCGATTGACCAAGTATAGATCAATTACAATATGGACATGAAGCCGGTCGAACGAAGATAGTCGGAGCCAATGACTAAGATCTATCAAGCCAAGGGAAGGCCTCAACCAAACTCTCACCCCTACAATGACAGTCACCTCACAAGAGTCTCCAAACTCTTCATTAGGCGACATAAGGTTTTACCATGATATACTCCACAAACAACCCAAAAGACTTATTGCGAAGGGGTGAACTACTTGTCGGATTAAGATGAATCACCCTCTGTCAGACAACATAGTCTCATCCTGACAATAGAAGCTCCTCATCTAGGGTTCAGTAGTCGACAACTGGATCAAATCAATCCACTAACATACTCAAGTCGACCGAAGATCAATAGGAGTCGTCAGCAACTCCAACTCAACATAATCAGGTAAATGGGTCTTGCAGCACCAAGACCCCATAATCTCAATCAATCGAGTGAAAGTATAGTCGAGCTTGAAGCTTATTTATGTAAGAACCCAAAATACCATGTAACATCCCCATTAAAATAATGGTACACATATAATTATACATATTGTACCTTTTTTGTCTGTAAATAGAGGATCATTTTGAATAAAGTGTTACACAATCTTCTCATTCTACTCTTCATTATCATTAGGTGTGTAAACGAGCCGAACACGAGTGAGTTTAGGCTCGGCTCATGTTCGACTCGTTAAAATATATCATTGTTCTTGTTGAACTCGTTTATATTTCAAACACAAAAAGTGTGTTCGTGTTCTACTCATTTGTACGAGTCGAACATGAGCTGTTCGTAAACAAAGAGTAGCTTTGACAACCCTAATTACTCAGCCGCATGATATTAAGAGTTGTGGCAAGATTTAAGTCTTATTGTTTATATTAAAATATCCTTTAAATATAATTTAATTTAATTTTTTAATTAATAATTTTAATTGATTATAAATCTTTATAGCATCATAGTTAATTAAATTTTTTTACAAATAGTTCTCATCAATATATATATATATATATATATATATATATATATAATCAATGACCATTATTTCGAGCCCAAATGACCCAAACATGAACGAAAAAATCTTTGTTCGTATTCGGCTCCG